GAGTGAGAAAAAATCCCAGGAATTTGAGTCAGGAGTAGAAAGAATATTGTTAGATAAAAAAACTTATCAAACGAGTTTTGTTACGCCACGAGTCTATCACTTATGTTACGGAATTGGTGGAGAATTTATTAAAGTTTTCTTATAATTTATTAAAGTCTTCTTTTTTATAATTATTTGTAGTTGAAAAGTTGAGAGTTATAACATGCCATTGGTCCAAAGGTGCTTTTTCAGAACAATTTTTTAGTTTTTTTCAATTGGTATTATTGAGTGAAATTCGACAAATCTGTAGAACACTACAGAATTATGTATGTATTGTTTACTTACCCTAATGCCAGACAAAATTTTCAGACTCTTGAATGTGCCATCAATGCTTGAATAAACTCAACTAACCCAAGTACAGCTGATTGATTTTAAGTAGATCAAAAGCTTTCGGGTTGTTTATGCCTTCAGCTCAAAGAAAACCCATAAAGCCCTCAAATCGGATTTGGGCCCAAGCACCCTCCACTTTTCTCCTCATAAGTGCAATTCGTACAAGTTTTGAAGTTGACCTTACAACAATGCGAGAGTACTAGCACTTTTGACAATACGCATTCAAACCGATACTTTCGCGCAAAAACTCGCTTACACTACTATGGAAGTCATTCTTATTCTATATTTCGCACATGATGAATTTAGTAAATTATTTATGAGGCTCTAGATGCCTATAGGACGTCGACATTTTTTGAGTCGTCTGCTGGAGTAACGTAGTATTAATTTTGACTTGAATTCACACGAGAGCCAAAAATGTCATTTTGGCTGCATAAGTAATTCATATCTTTTTTGGGTTTGCAGAGGATCTATGGGTTAATCCATTCTTGGCAGGGGCTGTAGAAAAAAGTTAGCAAAAAATTCCAAACGTGACGATACGTTTCCAATTTTAGAGAAACCAGAAAAATTCTGAATAAATTCGACAAAATTTTCTTGGGCAGAAAAGGGGATCCAAATTTCAGAATTTCCTGCTGAATGAACAGAAGTAAAACTAGCCAGTTTTTCAAGATATCCGGGATGCTTCCCAATGTAAGAAATTCGGGGAGGAGGGCAATTCTGCAAGGGTACTTTGGGTTACAATGATTTCAAAATATTCATTATTCATTAGTTTAAGTAAGTTATCCAGGTATTTTGTGTATAGTATACTTGGGGAAATTCGAATTTTTTTTCGAATATTCGAATATCGAATATATTCGAAAATTGAAAATTTCGAATATTCGAATATCGAATAATATTCGAAAATCGAAGTTCTCGAATATTCGACTATCGAATATTATTCGAAAATTGAAAATTTCGAATACTCGACTTTCGAATACTATTCGAAAATCGGAAATTTCGAATATTCTACTATCGAATATTATTCGAAAATGAAAACTTCGAATCGAATAATATTCGAATATCGAATATCATTCGTTATTCGAATTTCGAATATCATTCGGTTCTCGAATGTTATTCGATTTCCGAATATCATTCGATTTTCGAGTACTGACCGAATAATTTACATCATTGAGACTGCCTCTGAAAGGCCAAAACGCTAAGAATAAATCGTTTCATGTAAATGATAAGAATGGATACCATTCTTATGGTACAATTTACGATGGAAAAACGGTTTAGTCGTGACGTGAAGAAAGAGACTTAGGAACCAAGCTACTCTTATGACGGTTGTGAAAAGATTTTTCGTACTTCAAAGAAGATTATATACCCTCACTGAGAGTTGCGATTGGGTATACAGCGGTCCCAACATATGTAGATCTGTAGGCTGACATCAACTTAGAGTATGGGGCTATTTATCAATCGCTTTTCACTATTGTAAAACTACCGTAGGACTGAAGTGGGTTTCAAAACATCAAGAGCCATTTCCCTAAGAAAAAGAATCAAAAGGGCTGGAAGTCTTGCTTTAGATTTCTGAAGACACTCACTTTATGTAGAATTTGCACTCAACCGTAATGCTTTTTTCAAAACCTACGCCAGGTATCCTGTGTGCCCCAGAAAAGTTTCCATGTGAATCAGCTGCGTACGTGGTGCGACGCTGCCTTTCGCTCTTTTTGACACGTTTCTCCTGAGATTTCAACTGAAATGCCCGAAGTTAACACGTTCAAAATAGCGAAAGGCAGCGACATGACGTGGTGATACCTATGGAAATTTTGCTGGGGAACAAACGATACACCGCAACAAGTGTTTTGCGACGCCTTTCAAAAATGTGATTGCCATTTGAAAAGCTTGAAAACTCGTGCGTAGTAAAATCAGCATAAGACCTTTTCGGGGACAATTTTTTTGGATGTCTTATTTTGCAGTTGGTCTATAAGCTGGAGTTTCCTACTGTGATAACACACAATAAAAAACATGGGTGATTCGCTTTCTGCTGTATTTATAAGATGAAGCCATCCCTATTGGATGTTACCAAAAATTGGCAAAAGACTTTGAGAGGTATTAGCGATCAAACGGTGTGTAGATACTTTTAAGACACCCCGTATACGCTATGCATATCGATTTCTCGAATATTCGGTGCTTATCGAATTTTCGAATTGTCAATTCTTATCGAATTCTCGAATATTCGGCGCCTATTGAATTTTCGAATAGTCATTTCTTATCGAATTACCGAATATTCGGTGCTCGACGAATATTCGAATATTTGATGGACATCGAATGATCGAATGAATGACCTTCGAATATTCGACTATCGAATAATATTCGAAATTCAAGATTTTCGAATATTCGACTTTCGAATAATATTCGAAATTGAAGATTTTCGAATATTCGATTATCGAATATATTCGAAAAAAAAAAATTTCGAATATTCGACTTTCAAATTTTATTCGAAATCTCAGATTTTCGAATATTCGACTTTTCGAATCATTCGCATTCGAATGATTTATTCGAATGATCGAATAATTATTCGATTCGGTCCCAAGTATAGTGTATAGCCAATTACGAAAATTTCAATAATCATTCTTGGAAGAAGGAAAGGGGGAGATGGGGGGGGGGGGGGGGGGGGAGGAGAAAGGAAGCAAAACAAAGATTCATTACTGCTCTCAAAAATTTGCGGTTACAAGTTTCCGAATAAAGGAGATAACCTTTGATTCAACTGGCTTGGCGGCTGGAAGACGGGGCTTTGTGACCTAACCAAGGCCGCTCGCACTCGCGACGCTGTCTGCGTCTCTGTCGCGCGAGTGCTTTCTAGTCATTACCTAGCCTTAATTAGGTCACAAAGCCCCGCTTTCCAGCCACCAAGCCAGTTGAATCAAAGGGTACTATCAGGGTAAAGCGGGGGGTGCGGCACTCGACCGTCGGATACGACCCCCCCCCCTGATTGCTGTCTTAATAAGACCCCCCTCCTAAACTATACACTTAAGATAGTATTACCTGAAGGCTCTGTCAAACATAATGGACAACATATCCATAATTAGCATGTTAAATACCCCCTGTAGACAAAGTGTGAGCGAATTCTGAAGATTCAAGATACTAGGCTACCTAAGTGAAATGGTCAAATTCCAACATGGTTAACTTTGTTTTAAAGGTGAATTAGCTATCCGTTTTTGCACTCAAGACAAAGCACTAATCCTTCTTTGTCCACCTCAGGAATCCCGCTTCAGAAGACCTCCAAACTGTGGAATTAGAAGCCAACCAAAATCTCATTTTTCCCATTTTTCGCTTTTGATGGCTGTGCTTTCACCAAATATTACTCAGAGCTAAGAAGACGAATCAGGCTCAAAACACCCCTATGGAATCTACGAGGTTTAGGCTATCGATTCATGTAAATATTGTCCGCTAAAAATGTTTTTTTGATATAGTTAATGGCCTGCGGCACCCCTGCGGCACCCCTGCGGCAGCCGCAGGTTTTGAGGGGGGGGTGCCGCAGGCCATTAACTATATCAAAAAAACATTTTTAGCGGACAATATTTATATGAATCGATAGCCTAAACCTCGTAGATTCCATAGGGATGTTTTGAGCCTGATTCGTCTTCTTAGCTCTGAGTAATATTTGGTGAAAGCACAGCCATCAAAAGCGAAAAATGGGAAAAATGAGATTTTGGTTGGCTTCTAATTCCACAGTTTGGAGGTCTTCTGAAGCGGGATTCCTGAGGTGGACAAAGAAGGAGTAGTGCTTTGTTTTGAGTGCAAAAACGGATAGCTAATTCACCTTTAAAACAAAGTTAACCATGTTGGAATTTGACCATTTCACTTAGGTAGCCTAGTATCTTGAATCTTCAGAATTCGCTCACACTTTGTCTACAGGGGTTAATTGACGTGCTAATTATGGATATGATACGAATATCATGTTATCGCTATAATCAGATCACCTAACTACGACCCCCTCCCCTTTTGACTCCTCAATACGACCCCCCCCCCCTCTGCGGCGTGCCGCACCCCCCGCTTTACCCTGGGTACTATCTTGAACAGTACAGAATGTAAAATCAACCAAAAATCGATATATCGATTGATGCTTGCATGAACAAAATTTTTTGCACATTCAGAAATGTATTGCTCACAGTCTCTCCGCAAATTCTATTACTAATTTTCTGAAATCTTTTGACTCAAGTTCTCATTCTGCGATCACATCCTCCATACCTCGATCCACGCCAATCTCCTTCCATCCATTCATTCTTTAAGATGATCATAGATGAGGATTTTGTTGTCGAGACAGCGGGTTTTCGCCCCCTAAGCGATCGCCAAGCGCGTCCTCTACCTATCGGATTTCCGCGCTCTATTGTCAGGAAGACACGAGCACTCCGTAGTATTTGATCCAGGCGTCGCGAAAATCAAATCCAGGGAAGAGGTGCCGCGGGGAGGGGGGAGAGGGGATGAAGACTTGTCTTTGGGATAAGCATTTGTGAAGTGATTGGGCAAATAAATGACGTGCTCCAAGTGTTATGGTGAGGCGGCCTGGGGACCAGTTCTCGCATGAAGAATTGTGGAAATCACCCCAAAATATCCTAAACAACTCTTCAATTTATTGAAATTATTATTTTCAGTTTGCACACGACAAGCTCCACCAGTAATTCTACAAGATTCTATGGGCGATACGGTAGCCTTACTCGGACAAGATGTAGATTTCACATGCAAAGTGGACAATCTAGGCAAACACATGGTACTTACAATTTTACCCTGTTGTTTTTCACCAAAAAATCTTATCCTTCAGGTAGCCTTCGTTCGAGCTAGTACACCGCCGAGGTTAATCTCATTCGATGAAAAGGTAACTGTCTGAAGAAGTAATAGTCGCACTTAGAGGGTTCACTGGATTTGAAGAACGTTTCAGAAAAAGTTTCCAACTGGTATAAATGAGGTAATCTTAAGTTTACAGATTTTTCGACAAAAAGACAAGTACGAGCTGAAGCCTAAAATGGGCCCGATGAATAATGAATGGATTCTCACGGTTAAAAATGTGCAGGTCAGTTCAGTTTCTTACCCATTTCTTTTACATTATGATCAGTTAGCATTTTCTAAGTAAAACAGTAAAGCTATTCTTGGAAATACAGTAGTTTTTTTTATCTAAAAGCAGAACCTTTAAACCTGAACAAGTCAGTAAAACTCGGCAAAATCCATCATTTTCATGCCTTCTACAAAAGTTTCGTGAGGAATTCAAATGAACCATCACGATTATTCAATTAGTCAAGGAAATAAAATCCAAATCAGAGAAACTTTGATTTACAGTGATGTTCACTTGAGCTTTGATCTAGAGCTATATTTAGTTATATTATTTGACTTCTGCGATTAATCTTATGATTACTATCCAATTTTTAATTGCATCATTGCACTTTGAATTAGTGCAATCTCTTTTTACTAATTTTGTGCTTTTTAAGGAGACTGACCGAGGTAACTACTCATGTCAAGTGAACGCTGATCCAATTTTAAGCTCGACAGCTGAACTGGATGTCAAAGGTATGGAGCTTTCGCCTTTTCCTTGCCTATTCTCTTTATTTTTCATAGAAGTTATGTTTTTCTCAAAAAAGGTAGCGTTCATCGGTAGTGCATAGGCATTTTGGAAAACTTCTCGAGAAGATGTGCAGATTATGTGGGTAAATTGAAAAGTTCCTGAACCACATCAAAATGAAAAACTTGATATGGAAAGCATATAAAAGCGAAAATCAGTAGTAAAACCTTTTTGTGGTCATTACCATATTCTTAAAATCTTTGATCTGCAGGTAATAGATCAATGAAAATAAAATTCTGCACTTGGATGTCCTAACTGAAGCTAAAGCTTCGCTCTATGTTTATTTCTATCATTAACTTTTTATACGAAGGATACACAAGCGTTAGACTCACGAATTCATGCACTTCTAACCTGCCCCTATTAATCTCTTCATTATTTCGGTCATTTCTCAAACCCCCCCCCCCCCCTGCACACCTTCTCGCCCCACGCGTGGGAGCAAATAACCCATCTGACTCATCCATTCATCCAGAAATCTTCCGCTGCACTATGTCAGTTATATGGGGGGCCAATCTGCATCGACGCCCCCATTGTTCTGGCAAAAAAAGTCGGTGCTGCTCTATAGCTCTACGGATGTCGTCGTACTGCATCGCGATTTCCATTAGCATGCAAATCGCGGTGGGCGCGATAAATCAGCGCCAGATAGACGTGCTATCACATCTCGACTGGCATGACGGCTGTCGACCAAATTCGCTGCACTGGAAATGGGGCCATTTCAGGATGGAGCTGTACTGAATGAGTTTATGTATATTGATCGGGAACTGGGTAACTAAACTTCTTAAGAAATTGTTATTGCGTCTTAATTAGCGGGTTGACTGTTGTTGTTCTGTTGCGCAGTGGAATCGATGTGTCACAAAGATAATAAGGTTGCAACAGCTTATTAGCGTTAATTAAGTGTTGCGCACTTCCTGATGGGACAGCTCTGGCCCATAGGATAGGAATTTGGGGTAGAAGATGTACTAAAGATCAAATCAAGGTACCCAAAGCAACCGGTCAGGACCAGCTTTCAAGGCATTCCCGAATAGGCGATACTTACTTATCAAATACTGCTTGCCATTTTGCGGTAACCTTCCCGGTAATGATCAATAATTATTTCCACCATGTGATGGAATGAAAACTCGTCTTTAGTGCTCTTTCTAGGTTAGGATATTCCAAAGGGACCAAGTAAGGGTTTGAGACCACCGAGATGGAGGGGGAAGGGAGGGCAGGAATTGGTCCTATCCCCTAAAAACCTCTTCCTGGAAATTTTTTCTTGGAAAAAGTAAAAGAGTCTTTTAGATAACATAACTGCAAATGAGTGAAAAGGGAAAGAAGGGCTTGTTGAGGGGCAGTAAAAAGCAAGACTGTCTACTTATTTGTTCTAAAAAAATCTTTGACCCTTTTTGAAAAAGACGTAAGGAGGCTGATACAACAATTTAAGCTTCCAATGTGAAAAGGAAAGGTAGAAGGGTGGGGGACAGAAGGGATTGGAATCCAGTCATTTCATGCTTTTTTTGCATAAGAATGAAGACAGACTATGTTAAGGCTACAAAAATAGACTGATTACAATAATGGGGCCCATTTTAGCAAAGAACTAATCCACGTGTATTAAATGCTTATTGATCGAACATAGTGTACCCAATTTCTTTTGAGAAATTGTTATTGTGGGAACTTTAGAACTGTAGCGGGAACTTTTGGAACAGGGCAAACAGGTTATTTCCTTACTCCAGCTCTAGGTCTAACCCGAAAATGCGGTATTTCCAGAACCCTTGAACCCTTCAAAGGTGCCCACACCGACCCATAATTACCCCCCTAACCGACATGGGTAATTAACCACCACAGTAACAGGTGATGACAACACCTTAACGGCGTAATCGCTTCCTCTTTGAGGGAGAACACCGGCTACGTCTATAGCGACAATTATATGAACGTATGTACTGCTGATGGTGTTCTAAAGATTAATGGAAGGTGGGGGAGGGGGGTGGGGAGAGAGAGAGACGAAAGAGGAAAAAGTTGATTTGCAAAAGATTTTCAGCTGCGTATTTAACATTTAATACGTGGAGTCTTCGTAAGTGTACGTTGTGGGGTAAAAATCGCTGATTCTCCTATAACTTCGAGAGAAATCGGGGAGGGCGGGGGGGGGGGGGGGAGATGTCAAAGAAAATCTTGTTGGCTTGTTGCAACAGACCTTACAGGTCAGTTACTGTTACGTTTTACTATAGGGGCCAAAATCGCAGATTTTGGTGAAGATTCACTTGTATTTTTCTTCGGCTGGATTGATCTTTTCAATCCCATAGACCCAGGGATTCCGGTCATACTTTCGACAGCATAAAAATAAATCGCGAAAAACAGCCTAAAGAGATTTTGACATGCGGATGTGCGGGTCTTGATCCCCTACAAAATACACCTACAGTATATCTACCGTAAAAAGACAGTATGGCGTTATAAAGCGAAAAGAGTGTATTTGTAAACAGCATGTCGATCAATCCCATTGCGCAAGTTTAAGCAATAATACTGAATTCGGATTTTGGGTTCTGAAAATATAATTTTATTAGGAGTATAATATACACTATTTAATGCATAATTTAACACTTATATATTAGGTTGATGCATAATTCTTACTAAAAATTTGAAATTCTTTACCTTTTACAGTATCAGTGAAATCTTCTGATTTGCTAAATATTAGAAAAAGTAAATCTTCAAAATGTGTTTGAGCTAAAATTCCTTGAGCGCATATGGCAGTGATATAAGCCGATTAAGAGAAACACTCAAATAGTGATTTTTCGATTCCTGGTTGCTGAAACTGCTAAAACGTCTACTGAAATTCAAATTCAAATTTTTGGTCTGGCTTTACGACCTACTCTTTTTGGCGAGAAGTTGGTAGTGATTGGATGTCTCTAGGAATAGGCATGAATTTCGATTTTTCAAAACCATCTTGTTGGCTTTGCTTGGTATTGATATTCTTAAATATACTATAAAATACCACTTTTGATATACATACATAACAATGAACACGTTGGGTAAGTTGATTAGTTTGTTTAAGAGTTTCAAAGTGATTTTTTTTCTATTTTTTGGTGATAGCATACTGCTATATAGTATCATATTTATCATAATATTATTATGTGCTATTACTTATTATCATAGTACATATGAAGAAATATAATGATATATACATTGCTTATAGTGCAACTACAAAACCACATGTATTAATTTATTTTTATTCTTTGATGATATGTATAATAATATACTGGGTAAACCAAAAGTATGTATACACTGTTTGATTGTCAATATCTCTTCTCCCAAGAAGTCTTTTTTTACCCTTAAGCACTATTTTGTAAAGTTCGTTTCAACTCAGACCTATGAATGGAGCGGATCACCAATCTTCCTTCATTATGTAGGATTAGCTAGAAACTTCGAGAGGGGTTTTGAGCCATTGAGGGCCCTATTCCGCTCCAAAAGATTAAGCAAACAACCTGAAAACTCTTATACTGGGCTAATACTATCCGCTAAAATGAAGTATGAAGTTTATGCTTTACCGCAATGTTTCCATTATAAGTTATGCCAGGTAAACCTCATTAGTTGTTTTCACACTGCTCTCTAATACTGTGATTACACCATTTAATAAGCTTTACAAACTCGTAAAAAGTTGAGTAATGAAATCAGCATGCGTGAAAACTTTGAAAGTTTTTGGAAACTTTTTTTCTGAAACATGATTAATCCACAATGACGAGGTAAGCTTAAAGTTTCTACCGTAACTCTGCAGTAATGGGAAGCGCTCGGTGATTTGCTCCATACTCTAAATCTATGTTAAAGCCAATTCTACAAAATCGTGCTTGAGGAAGGCAGAAGACTTCTTAGGAGGAGAGCTATTAAAGAACAAACAGTGTATATATATTTTCGGGATACTCTGTATACAGTGGCGGTCCCAGGATTTCGGACTAGGGAGGGGGGCGACAAAAATTTTTTTCAAATGAAGGCGCGTGGCGTCAGCCACGCACTCCGAAAATTTTTTTAAGTTGCTTCTCAAAATTTCTGAGGGTCCCCAACCCCTAAAATCTGGGAAAAGGTGGCGTGGCGCCAGCCACGCCCCCATAAATTTTTTTTATAAGGCTAATTTGAATTTTTAAAAAATTTCAAAAATTATTTTAATTATTTACAAAAATAAACAAGTCGTTTGCACATTTTTATAACCCACATAGGTAAGTTTCAAAAATTTCGCGACCCATTCTTGGGGGGGGGAAGCGCCGCCCCCCCTCGGTCCGCCACTGCCTGTATATTATTTTTCAAATTCAGATATTCTGAATACTCAGTCAATGTGAAATAGGGGTGAAAGTTGGGAGCATTCATCAAGCATATATTGATTTAAGTATTATCACGCAACTACTATGAACATTTATATCACAGTTATGTATTCAGTATTATTCTATCATCATCGATGGTATAGTAGTTCCAGTGCCACCAGCCGTGTCACGAGGTACGCCGTCAGCTGTGGAAGTACGTGAAGGTCATAATGTGACGCTCACATGCAAAGCGGAAGGCAATCCGACGCCATCGGTCGTGTGGCGACGCCAAGACAAACAGATCATCCGATACAATGGTGCTACCGGATTTGGAGGTGAGCTGCTTGAATCGAAAGGGGGGGGGGGGGTGAGGGGGGGGGTCAGATTTCTGGATGGGTCATGACGTAGACATGGTTTGGGAATGTTAAGAAGCGAAATTTACTGTGATTCCAAAGCATCACTTTCTATACTGTCATTTACTTTCTTTAGGAATAAAATTTCTAGAATAATCTAAATATTCTGGTTGAAAAAATAACTTATTTCCAAAAATATGAATTTAGCGGTGAAAAACCGACGGAAGGAGGGAGCCTTACACATTGCTAGTAATTTGTACAACTGTACAATAGATAAGTAAGCGGGCAAACTTTGAAATTTCAATAGAGTTGAACTACCTGATTTTTTTCTGTCTGTAGCCCTCCCCCCCCCAAAAAAAAATTTTCATTTGTTCGTTTTCAATTTCCCCTTCAAATTTTCAGACCCACCACTAGAGATAGACGACATTTTTAATCTAATCGATTAAATAACAAATTTTCATTTTAAAAATTGTCTACACTGCTTTCCGACCATGTAGATTTTTGTGAGATTGTTCTAAGCATCAATGCATTACTGTAAATAGATATCAAATACTATTTGTTCTGTGCTAAAACTGGTCCCCAAAAGAAAAAAAAGTGTGCAATGTCCACAATCAAAGCTGGTAAAACAAACTCGATTCGATCTGGATTTTTTTCATTCTCTGAGAAATGTGCAGACCTGTCGCAGAAGTGATTGACTCAGGAAAGCATTCATGGATGGGGAAAATCTGCAAAAAGAAGGGAATGGAGGACGGAAGAGATACAAAAGTTTGGGCTCAACTTAAAGATGTGTCATTCCATCAACTTTCCTTGATTTTGAGCCTATTGAGAAACCTGCTCGACTTTTTTGAATAGAAAGCTTGACTCTGTAAAATTGGCCTTTTCTGTTTTGCTCCGGCAATATTTAGGGGCCATTCCTTGCGCAGTGACCTGATTCCTTATTTACAACACTCTAGTCCCAGGCTCTTCCCACTTTACTGTAATCCTATGCTTTTTCCACACATGTTTCGCAATTGTCTCAAGAGCCAAATGCTATACAACATGCACTCTTTGGGTTGCCATACCCAAGACTTTCTCAGGCTGCCATTTGCCCTCAGCGCTCGTTATCCGCTTATACACATGTTCGATGTTGGCTCAAATTCCACAACATGCCCTGGCTAGCGCGGGAAAAAACAATACAGTTGTGAAGTCGGGGGATTTCCTTTCCACTTAGAGAAAGTGCTGGCAGATAATTTGAGGCTTGCTTGAGTGGTTATCTAATCCAATGAAAGCTGACGGCAGGAATCCATGCCATATGTTAGCGCAGGCGCTATATGGTCAATTAGTGCGCGACAGTCAAGAGCGCGCTGCTGAGGGGTCAATCGTTTCTAATCCCTAGTGCGTCTTACGTTACGCAAAAATAACATTGACTGTTGGCTAACACAAAGGGAGAGGGAGGGAGAGAGAAAAATGTCTTCGACAAGCTAAGTGATTGATCCCGAGAACTGGAAGGGCCAGAATGAGGAAGTTTCTTGCGCACCTTCAGACTTAGACTTCCAGCATACAATGGAAAACTCTTATGCGCTCTATTGAGGGAATGGAAGGAAATAGAACAAATGAGATAGCGATAAGTCCCATAAAGTGTTACTTTCTTGTGTTCTATGAGAATTTCCTTTTATAAAGGGTTCATCATTCATTCCGCAAGTTCCAAGAATTTCCTATGAATTCAAGATTCTTAAAGCAGTAACACCCAGGCTCATTGTCCAAAATCAACCAATGAAAGAGTAGAAATAATTCTTGCATTCTCCTGTGGTTTTAGTCTTCCCCGTATAAATCATATTTCTATTCAAATATCTTTGACCTGCGCAAGCACCGTTTTTTGTTTTTACTGGTGCAATATTTCAGTGGCATCCTAAAAATCAGGTTAGAATAAAACTAGCGAGTTTTCAGCAACTCCCAGAGATTCTCGGATTACATGTGTTTGACTCTAGCATACTTCAGAATTTTCTCATGCACTGAAATCTATGCTCTAGCACTTAGGAAGGCGATTGTATACCTGTTCGAAAGAAGTCGAGATTTCTGGCGGAGGAAGGGGGGGGGGGAAGACAACGATAAAGCCTATTTAATACAAAAGGAAAATAAACACATTTATTTTCAGTCAAAATGAGCTTATATGAGCTCACTGCTAATTAAATTTATCGTTGAAAATTACAAGGTCCAATAATCATTTTTTATAGTGCAATAAGTTTCAATCACTCAAACTCTTTGATAGCTGAAGATTATGGGAGCCAAAAGAAAAAATTGGAGGACACTGTTCTTTACTAACTGAAATTGTTACAGTATAAATTTCAATATTTTAGCAAGTGTATTCCATGGGCCAACCTTGCATCTGACAAAAGTGAATCGAAAACACATGAGCGAATATGTCTGTGTGGCTAGTAATGGAATTCCACCGGATGAGACATGGACAGTGAAGTTACTAGTAACCTGTAAGTTGATTTCAACTGGGATTAGATTATAAAAAAATAATTTTTCAAGTCTGGATTCTGCTCCCCAGTGAAGTAATTTGATTTCGAAGCGTGCGGAATTTTCAAGCGAAGTATAGAGTTTTATAGAACCATTTTTCTTCAGACTGAATGAATTTTTAGGGTATGTAAGAAGCAATTGTTCCATCATTATCATACCTATGAGATGGAAATAAAATATATTTTTCGACGGACATCTTTGACACTTCTTGACATATTGGCACATTTTGAGTAATGCAGAAACTGGTTTCTCCAACATTATTCCTTTTTTTATAAACCACGGGTCAAAATTTCTTTGCGTTAGATCTCGCCAAGCTTTCTTCTTTGTGAAACGATGATCGCTTGCTCCAGATATAGTAATAAGATTCCCATTTTTCGTCGATCACATCTCCAAAACTTCATATTCGCTGACTCCGTGCCAGCATCTTCAGCTGCCTTTGTCCCGAATGAATATGCCCAAGACGAGCACAAACTCAATTTCTTCGGCCTGTTTGCGCGAAGATGCGGCCCGTACTTCTTTCAAGTAGCGCTCCGAGCTGTGAAGTCCTCGGGGACATTGCCCTACAAATTGAACATAATTTGAAGAGTTTTCATACGGCTGCAGAGGCGTTGCATTTTTCTGCAAAATTGAGGGGTGATAAAATGGAGTTTTTGAAAACCTACTTTTTAGTTCCACCGATGATGCAACCGAAAGCAACTAGTGTACGAGTTCCACTGGGTGGTTTGGCGCGACTAGTCTGTACAGCTGAATCATGGCCAAGGCCAGATGTTACATGGGACAAGGATGGTCAACAAATTTTCGACTCGGATAACTACGCTACGGTTAGTTCTTAAGCTAAAAGGATAAAGAATTCGGCGCCTTCAACACTTTCTGCGGGCATGCGCCGAACGCACTGTACTTCATAGTCGAAGAGGCAATTGTATGCGTGCAAGCCTATTACAGTGATTTGCGGGGGCCAGCCGTTTATCAAGTTAGTGCTCTTATCTCCCAGATCACTCTGGTATCAATTTACCAGCCCCAGAGGGTAGAGGGCTTGGTTGGCTTAGGGGCAGGAATCGAACCTGTCCGATCTGGTCATAGCGGCGCCTCATACCACTACGCCACTCGTCCCCCGTTCTTAAACTGAATAATCTTTTGAAATTAAACATGAATTTTGAATCTGTAGTGGAATCTGGAACTCACAAAAACGATCACTATTTGTTTTAGGAGTCAAAGTTTTTATCTACATTAACCAAAGTATTCAAATATTTTGAACCAGCAGCATAGTACGCGATTTAGTTTTCTACAATTTTTTTTGTTCAAAATTACATGATAAGTTATTGAAGAAACTCATAGAAGTCTTTTTGCGAAATCTGGACTATTTACTGTACCTTATATGCTTCAATAGCGACTAAAATTCTACCATATTACGATAATCTTATCGTTACGCCTGAACTGCGCGGGTCTGGTTGTTTGGGTTTTTGTATGGAGACTAATTGGTAGACTTTAACCAAACACCTACCTACGCGGCATTTTTATGATTCATTCGTAGTTGTAATAGTCAAGCTTAATCTCACACCCAAACCGTACTATCGTTTTCGAGGACGCTGATTGGGTTGCACGAAAGAGCACGGTCTGGGCAAAGCTCGAGGTTAACTTTTTTAGCCAAAAAAAAACTATTGCCGTTGTGTTAGTATGTAAGTAAGCCTTCTGAGGTTAGTAGGTCTTTATTAGTGGCGGCCTAACGTTTCGAACAAGTCGTCTTCTTCAGAGGCCTAAAGTGGTAGGAGATTTTGATTATGTGTCTAACCCACCAAAATCCTCCACCAGTCCCTGGCCAGCCTCGATAATAAATAGTAATAATAATAAAGACCTACTAACCTCGGAAGGCTTACTTACATACTATCACAATTTACTACGAGGCTGGCCAGGGACTGATGGAGGATTTTGGTGGGTTAGACACATAATCAAAATCTCTTATCACTTTAGGCCTCTGAAGAAGACGACTTGTTCGAAACGTTAGGCCGCCACTAATAAAGACCTACTAACCTCGGAAGGCTTACTTACATACTAACACAATTTACTAACAATGCCGAGGTTCAAGAAAGAGGAAACTTGGAAATTACTATTGCCGTTGGTTATTTACTTGGGGAAATATAAGCGACATTATCGCGCTACATTTTATGAAGAAAAAACAATGAAAAGAAAACCGATTACTCTCGTCAGGGTGTTTATCGTAACCTTACCGTCATGTTATACCCATATTGTAGACCCAGACGAGCCAAATGCCTGCCTTTGACCCATATTTTCCAGACTTTGGGCGAATTAGGTATACTCTTCAATACCTTACTAGCACTATACCCTCCATTTTGCATTTGTGAACCACTCGTGATATTATCGCTTTTCTTTTCAGTCCCAAACCGTATCCGGACAATATCACAGTGTACATGTGCTTGAGATTCGACGGGTGACTAAGGAGCATTATGGAAATTATCGATGTACAGCTCGGAATGATAATGGCATTCATTTTGCTGATATTGATGTCGCAGGTACATTTACTTTTTGTTTTTTTGCGCAGTCAAAAGTTAAAAGATTTTTCTAGAATCCGAGCCAAAATATCTGTATACAAATGCCATACAAGAAGGTGGGCAGCATGTTTGTTTTGTCCTTATTTATTTTTTACTAACATTGGTATGTTTAAAATTGTTAGGAGATACTAATACAAGTAAAATTAACCCAAAATATATAATAAAAACATCAACCCGTCTAACAAAGTCATACCTTTCTAATTAGCTACTGTCGCCTCCTTTCCTGTGATTGGTCACTTTTTGTCTGTGACGTCATCTTTCTTCTGTACACTCATATAAGCACCATCTTACTGTAAAGTGTTGTTATGCAGTGAACGTTTCTCTCGGCACCGCATGTTCGCACAACACATTCCAGGTTCTGGTTTAGTGAACAGTGATGACGAGGATTCAGATAAAGACGTAGTCGACGAAGACGATGAGGATGCAGAAGACGATCAAAGCGATACGCAACCGATTCGGTCGATATCGTATCCATCGCAAGTGACTCAAGTTTCCACCACATCAAGTTCAGCAGAAGGCATGTTTTCGTATAAATTTTTGTCTGCACGCTTCATTGTCTATCGTATCTCATCATATATGTTGTGAGCAATGTGAATTCTTGTAACTTCTGGGGTACTGTAACGTGAACATCAAAAAAGCATAAATCATAACTCACCAAGCTTTCTCACTTGGGTAATGGAACGAACGCTGCCATTTTGGTCCTTCTATGTACGACGCTGTTGCAATTCGTTTGAGGACCTTTAGTCCGCGGGGGGGGGGAGGCCAAAATGGCGGAGCCCGTGTCGCTACACTTCTCGCTTATCACCAGCACCAACCGCACATCTGGCACTTGAAATTATGGGATTACGATCACCTCACCGTCTAGGGGCCGCATGCGCGTTAACATCCCCGCCGGGGAAGCGATCACAGCTCAAAAGAGAGCTTCGTATCCTGGATATCCGAACTTCATCCACGAAAATTTTAAATTTGCAACGATTATCCGACCCAACAGTGCTTAGCATGTTGCTGATAAGAACAAATGATGTATTGAAGTTATGAAATTTACGATGAACCACAACTCGAAAGTTGGGGTTTATCAAAAAAAATCGATTTCTCCAAAAAGTCATGGTTCTCATCAGCAACATGTAGAAGTGTGTGTTAGATAACAAGTACAACTTTGGAAGGTTTTCGTTAACAACGAAGTAAGAAAAATGACTTTGAAGAAAGAGCGGTCGGCCACCATGGATGGCGGTGTGGCGGGAGTTCCCAAAGCTTAGCCGCTTTTCCTCGCAGGGGTACTTGGCACCTCCAGAAATGCATCAAAAAACATCACACCTTCTCGAGGCAAAAGGGCGGCTCCGCCGATCACTCCTCCCTCTAGGTGCCCTCATTCTGAATTGTGCACACGTACTGTAAAACGTGCTCCACTGTATGTGAGGATAATAGAATTGAAATCGAGAAACAAAAAAATTCTAGGTTCCTGTAAGGGTTTAGAATCCGTAAATGACTGCAGCTGAATTTCAGCGTTTCGAGGTTCAAAAAAATTCTAGGTTCCTGTAAGGGTTTAGAATCCGTAAATGACTGCAGCTGAATTTCAGCATTTCGAGGTTCAAAAAAATTCTAGGTTCCTGTAAGGGTTTAGAATCCGTAAATGACTGCAGCTGAATTTCAGCATTTCGAGGTTCAAAAAAATTCTAGGTTCCTGTAAGGGTTTAGAATCCGTAAATGACTGCAGCTGAATTTCAGCATTTCGAGGTTCAAAAAAATTCTAGGTTCCTGTAAGGGTTTAGAATCCGTAAATGACTGCAGCTGAATTTCATCATTTCGAGGTTCAAAAAAATTCTAGGTTCCTGTAAGGGTTTAGAATCCGTAAATGACTGCAGCTGAATTTCAGCATTTCGAGGTTCAAAAAAATTCTAGGTTCCTGTAAGGGTTTAGAATCCGTAAATGACTGCAGCTGAATTTCATCATTTCGAGGTTCAAAAAAATTCTAGGTTCCTGTAAGGGTTTAGAATCCGTAAATGACTGCAGCTGAATTTCATCATTTCGAGGTTCAAAAAAATTCTAGGTTCCTGTAAGGGTTTAGAATCCGTAAATGACTGCAGCTGAATTTCATCATTTCGAGGTTCAAAAAAATTCTAGGTTCCTGTAAGGGTTTAGAATCCGTAAATGACTGCAGCTGAATCTCAGCATTTCGAGTTATGTTTTACTCATGTTTTCGAATAAATTTAGGCTTCCTTATAAACCATATCGTATTAATATAAATCAAGCAGTTATAATTCTGACAAACACAGTATATAACAGAGAAGTTAGTCAATTTCACGCATTCTAAAATTGGACTTAGCCAACTGTTCGACCCTGTGACGAAGTTTGGTATCCTAGTGCATTGTTTAGGAAACACTACGCTTGAAAATTTCTTTTTGATATTTTGGATTATTGATCATTAGAGTAGTTGGAATGAAAAATCCATTCGAATATATGATGGCAAAGGAAAGTAAAAAAGTATAGGTGTTCAGATATCCTAAGTGCTGGACAAAGCGTGGAGTTGCTTAGTCGGAAACTTTGATATACTCCCCTCAAAATAGGTCTTTCTAATGTTGAGAAGGTAATTGGGCTCTCAAACTCGTGATGCTAGATCATTTCGATCAGATGACCAGTAATGTACAATTGCAACTAGATCCTCTAATTTTTCGCATGACCGGGATTCCGATTTGAAAAATTCTATGCGATTTTTCTATTCTGAAAAAATGTTCAAATGCTATTTTCTAAAAGGATGGCATAGCAGAAGTTTCCAAGCCGCCTACTTGAGAAATGATAACTTTTTTCTTGGTTTTTTTCTCCATTTTTCTCTCTTATTACCTTAACACCTGAATCTATGTTCCGCTGCTTGCACACCTCACAATGAGACCAGTAAATGGGTGGAGCAATGGGCAGGGCCTGACCTTTGAAGCAGAAGTGCTAGAACCCTCCTGGGAGCGAATGCTGGTGCAAAGTTTGTGCGAGGAAAGGCGCTAGGAACTCCTGCACGCCCTCCACGTGGATCATTACGGGATCACACAAAAAGCTGGAAAATGCGGCTTATGCGGCTGCTTGCCCCTGTTCAATAAGGTCATAGTGAAGGATGGTGAGAATACCTGAGAACAGGTTATACGGCGTCAAAACCAGATATCTGGAGCTCTTCAGGATATAAATTCCCTTTGATCTGCGATCTCCTCCCCAGCGGGGATGTTACTGCATGCGATCCTAAGTCTCATCACTTACGTGATATGACTTATCGCCAGTTTGAAGGACGCACTAAAGGGTTACACAAAACTTCCTCCCAAAGGTATTTCAGAGGACTTATACGCCATCTTTTTCCACCGGAAATAGTCCATATACTTCTCTCCCTCTCCCCCTCTCCTCCCCCGGGCATGCGTTGGTTTAGAGGATTTCTGAAGATGAAGTTTCACATGACACCGCAAAGTTTCAAGCCCCACTGGTGTAGAACTAGTAGTAAAACAACAACAAGAACATGAAACAGTTGTTGCCAGTTTAAAGGACGCCTGGACGCCTTGGCAGGCATGTGGTTGGAGCGCCATATCTATCAATGCGTTTATCTATACATTTTTGGCTCAAAAGAGAGGAGCGAAAATGGTTTAAGTTGCTCTCCCTCATTATGTGATAGATTTTTGAGCGTTCTAATCGTCCACATCAAAAAGGTCTAAAAATATGTGAACACTCCGTTATTTATGCAACCCAGTTAGTTGTGTCTGGTTGTCTAAAAACCAACAAATTCGGAAACGGGTATTAGGACAAATAAGTTTTTGATTTCATATAATGTAGTTTGAAGTAATATTGGTAAACATAGCCCTAAATTCTGTGTCATGCTATTGCTTTTACGCTGCAAAGAAGCCATTTGTTTATTTGAGCATCATTGAGTTTGCGACATGATGAGAAAGAACACGTTAGAGCATGTCATTCAAAGCTTGCTAGTTAGCATATCCGTAGGTCATTCATACGTATGTTTAGCAGGTTTTACGATACCCCTTTGCTTTTCCCCCAAAAGCGAAGTTCAGTTTGACCCCAAACCATCTGTGCCGAGCCCTGCTCCCCTTTCCCCCTCTGCCTTTCCGAAATCTGAATACACTTGAATGTTATATTAGGATTATGTACTTATTTTCAGAGTTACGGCAAGACGAGTCGAATTTGGCCCATCAAAAACTGTTACTTGCCAACTTATGTTTGATAGGAATTTTAAGGTTGTATATCAATTAACTCGATTGAGCCTTTGCCGTCATTGTATGAGTCTTTGTAAATATAAGTTAAACGTTGTGTTGATTGATCTCTAAATGGCATTCACTTAATATGAAATATTGACTCAATAAATATAATTCATACTTGCCTTGTTTATATCCTTAAACCCCTGCAAATGCAACTATTTTAGTGTGTGTAGATTTTGGTTTGATTTTTTGTATGAAAGCTGGGTGCTGAAAAACATCTCATACAGCGGACTGTTTCTGTGTTCAGAAATGGTTAGAAGTTTTGAGCAAAAGCGAATGATATTGTGGATTGTAAATCTAATACATATAGATACAGAAGTATGAAAGTAAATCCGCTATGAAAGAAAGCAAAGTTTTCAGCGCATACAAGGAAAGAGTACTAGATGCTCTCATCTTTACGAAGGAAATGGATTTTTTGTCTTGGAATTTCGCATGCTGTAACTGCTGGAAATAGCCGTGCTAGATTAATTTCATTTATTGCAATAAATTTTCTTTTTGTAAACGCTCGTACAAGGCATAGAATAGCTAATAATGCTTCTGTGCCTTCGTCCTGCATTAGCCTTTAGGTACTTTTATCGATAATTGCGAAAATTTCTTCTGAAGAACACTTTTTTTAAGCAGCACTAAATCTTCTATAGAAAGTACTCGAAATTTTAAACCATGACACTCTTGTTTCAAAATGTCAGTTTTATAGAGACAAGCTTCGAACAGCAAATTTCAAACCCGAGCTCAGTACTCAGGAACAACGAGGCTCTTTGTTTTGCTTTAACTCATTGTGATTAACACCGGAGCAATTGTCGGCTTTCTGAATATCTTGCCGAGTAGTTTTTCGCTATAAAGCAGTATGACAAGCCTAAAAATGTCGACTTATTGTAGAAAAGGAGGATTCCAGCAGCTCACCCATCGAAGGCTAAGGATATTTCCCATATCAGTGCAATGAGAAAATTTTTTTCCATATCTGTCGACACAAACGGCTTCACCCTATAGGGTATAACATTACACATAATAATACTGAAAGAAATGATGCAGCTCTAAAGTTGACTAATCATTTGCGCCTTACTTTACGGGCGCTACCTGCGAGATAGTCTTTTTTTTTTCTTAGAAGATTTTGTCGCATAGGTAGATTTTCCGTGATTCCATGTAGAGCCTGTGAGATTGATGTAGAAAGCTTTACATGTTGTGCAGAATTTTGACCTAAGATACTGAATCTTAAAAAGGTATAAAGAATTTGAAATAACGATTTTCTTTTATCCGGAATTTTAGGTAACAATTTGTATACTATTAGGTTGGTAAGAAAGTTCTCGGACATTTTCAGAAAAAATCTGCTATTTCTCGAAACCTAACGCATATACATCAGATAGAGGTACCATTCGATAAAGCAAAGCAAACTCTACAAGATGGTATGCAAAAGTATGCACCAACTTCGACCCATCGTAAGTTTGCATTCAAAATCTGAGTCGTAATGAAATTCAAAAAATCGCGAAGAATTTATATCTTTGTTCAAACAAATCCTACGGATCTCCAACTTGCCCACAAAATTTGCGGACCACATCAGACACTCGTATGCACCATTCCTGTAATTTTTTCCTCATCTGGAAATTGAGAAAACGAAAGTTTTCATGCTTGTATAAAAACGAAGCTGTGCTGTTTCCGCCCATGTAATTGAAAAGTACAAGCACTTAGAAGTATAACCGTAAATTTTCAGCTCTCCGGAAGCACTAATTCCCGAAAATCACCGAATTGAGCGCTCCTCACTCGGGCGTTTTATGCTAAAATCAATATTTTTCGACAACTAGGGCTTACGGAGAGCTGGAAATTTACGGTTATACTTCTAAAGACTTGTACTATTCAATTACATGGGCGGAAACAGCACAGCTTCGTTTTTATACAAGCATGAAAACTTTCGTTTTCTAAATTTCCAGATGAGGAAAAATTACAGGAACGGTGCATATGAGTGTCTGATGTGGTCTGCAATTTTTGTGTGAAAGTTGGAGATCCGTAGGATTTGTTTGAACAAATATATGAATTTTTCGCGATTTTCTGAATTTCAGTACGACTCAGATTTTGAGTGCAAACTTACGATGGTTCGAAGTTTGTGCAAGCTTTTGCATACCATCTTGTAGATTTTGTTTTTCTCTATCGAATGGTACCTCTATCTGATGTATATGCGTTAGGTTTCGAGAAATAGCAGGTTTTTTCTGAAAATGTCCGAAAACTTTCTTACCAACCTAATAGTTTGTCGTACATTACATGTCGTACATTGTACATGTCGTACAATTTTGCATATTCTCGCGGACTTTCCGCAAGAATATGCAAAATTTTCGGGGCCCGCACGGTCTTTTATGGAAGACCGCGCAGCCCCCAGGTACTCTCCGCTGAGAGAAAGTACCTCAAACTTGAGTAATTAAACCATCGATGACACCTCTGCCATGTAGAGTCTCATCTTTGCTCGGCGTACGTCCGAAACTGCTCAAAAACCGTCCGAGCGCCAGCTGGAAATTTGACCAGCGCTCGCTGAAAGAGATTATTTGACGAGCGCCTGCAGAAAATTCTGTGTTGCTCCCCGCTGGCAGAACATCAGACAGTAAAGGAAGTGCCGCCCGCTGAAGGTTTGGCCACGCCCCAAAATTCTGCTGACCGCCTGCAGAAAAACGCGAGTTTGCGGACCGCCTGCCCCCGGCGATTGTCTGAGCAGGCGATCCGCAAACTCGCGCTTTTCTGCAGGCGGTCAGCAAAATTTTGGGGCGTGGCCAAACCTTCAGCGGGCGGCACTTCCTTTACGGTCGCATATTCTGCCAGCGAACAGCAATACAGCATTTTTTGCAAGCGCTCGGCAAATAATCTCTTTCAACGAGCGCTGGCCAAACTTTCAGCAAGCGCTCGGACTCTTTTTAGGCATTTTCGGGCGAACGTCGACCGCAGGTAAGACTCTGTGTGGCAGAGGTGTCACCGTTGGTTTAATTACTCAAGTTTGAGGTACTTTCTCGTAGCGGAAAGTACCTGGGGGTTGCGCGGTCCCCGAAATTTTTGCATATTCTCGCGGGAAGTCCGCGAGAATGCGGCCACTGCGCCGCAGTTAATCCATATAGAAACCGCGATTGTTCTTCAAGCATTCGTCTTTAATTTCGCAAACTTTCTTCCAAATTTCTGCAAGCGGACGGCAAAAAATCAACGAACTATTTTTCCGGTGCGCGCTTGCTCAAAATTCGCATGGCCGCCTGCCCCCGGGCGGCTATCTGAGGGTGAGACTCTATGTGGCAGTCTCAGATAATCGCCGGGGGCAGGCGGTCCGCAAACTCGCGCTTTTCTGCTGGCGGTCAGCAGAAATTTGGGGCGTGGCCAAACCTGCAGCGGGTGGTACTTCCGCGTTCTGCCAGCGGGCAGCAATACAGAATTTTCTGCGAGCGCTCGTCAAATAATATCTTCCAGCGAGCGCTGGCCAAACTTTCAGCAAGCGCTCGGACTCTTTTTACGCAGTTTCGGGCTTACGTCGAGCACAGGTAACGCTCTTGTGGCAGAGGTGTCACCGTTGGTTCAATTACTCAAGCTCAGATAATCGCCGGGGGCAGGCGGTCCGCAAACTCGCGCTTTTCTGCAGGCGGTCAGCAGGATTTCGGGGCGTGGCCAAATCTTCAGCGGGCGGTATTTGCGTTTTCTGCAAGCGGGCATCAATACAAAATTTTCTGCAAGCGCTCGTCAAACAATCTCTTTCAGCGAGCGCTGGCCAAACTTTCAGCAGGCGCCCAGACTCTTTTTACGCAGTTTCGGGCGTACGCCGAGAAAAGATGAGACTCTATGTGGCAGAGGTGCCATCGATGGTTTTATTACCCAAGTTTGGGGTACTTTCTTTCAGCGGAAAGTACCTGAGGGCTGTGCGGTCCTTCAAGAAGGACCGTGCGGCTCCCAATAATTTTGCATGTTCTCGCGGAAAATCCGCGAGAATGCGGCCACTGTGCCGCAACTTATGTTTAGAAAAACCGCGATAGATCTTCGAGCTTTCGTCTAAAAATTGGCCAAAATTATTCCAAATTTCTGCAAGCGGACCACAAAAAATCAGCGAACTATTTTTCCGGTGCCCGCTTGCTCAAAATTCGCATGGCCGCTTGCCCCCGGCGATTATCTGAGAGTTTGAGGTACTTTCTCTCAGCGGAAAGTACCTGGGGGTTGCGCGGTCCTCCACAAAGGAACGTGCGGCCCTCGAAATTTTTGCATATTCTCGCGGAAAGTCCGTGAGAATGCGGCCACTGCGCCGCAGCTAATCCATAAAGAAACCGCGATTGTTCTTCAAGCATTCGTCTTTGATTTTGCCAACTTTCTTCCAAATTTCTGCAAGCGGACGGCAAGAAATCAGCGAACTACTCTTCCGGTGCCCGCTTGCTCAAAATTCGCATGGCCGCCTGCCCCCGGCGATTACTTGAGTAGTTGAAAGGAATATTGAAAAACAGCCGCTAGCGCTACCATATACTTGGTGTAATCTAAAAGTTACTGTAAAGTTCAACTTCCATATTCAAAATCAGTGAATTAGTATAGAAGAGTTTTTGACTCCTTTCAGGTCCTGTTTGCGGCACTTCGGTTCTTGTGTGAAATCGCGTAGGGGACGTCATAGGTGCGATAAGGTGAGACTGACTCTCCAGGGTGAAGGGAGTCAAGTGGTCGCAGCCCCTCCAGGGTGAAGGATGTTTCACTTGATCGAATAATTATGAAATTTCGACTGGGAGGGGGGGGGAGGGAGAAGAGTGATTTTGTTCTTTCATCATTTTTCCTAATCAAAGTTCATCATTTATAATCCTCTGCCATCAATGGTTATTTTTTTCTGAATTGTAAGGATTGAAGTAGGATTGAACCACCCTGCCCGTTTTTGAAATTACCATAGAAGATATGCGAGAACATCTGTTTTGGGATAGAGGTAGACAATTTTTTAGCATTCACGAATTTTTATAGGAAGGAACTTCATAATTTCTATAGAGCGTCAGCAAGGTAATTGTTTTCAAAACCATCTTTTCTTTTGCTTTCAAGAAATATACAGTTTTTCTGGGGTCCTCACAAAAAATGGTAAAGGGCGTGGGTAGTGATTTCCAGATACTTTCGAAGTTTTT